GCGCTATTAATACTTTTTTTAGATACGTCCTTCCCCCACAATTCAGCATGTTTCTAAAAAGTGTTTTGTAGAGGAAACAAATATACTTTGCCAATTTTCCAAACCTTGCTTTGGTCTTTGGGACAGAAAGGAATTTACTGGAATGATCTGAATCAACTAGCATATCAAATAATTTGTACTTATTTTGTAACTTGTCATAACTTAAATAAGGACTGGAGATTTTAAATCTTAGAAATACTGAGTGATTGTTAAATGCCGCTGGTTATACTGACAACCAAGAGCAGTAGTGAAAACTGAAAAAACATACAGGGTCTACACTCTATAAAAGTGGTTCTCAACCTGTGGGTCGGGACCCCATTTGGGGTCGAAAGACCATTTCACAGGGTTCGCCAAACAACACAGTCCGCCATTTTTCCCCCTTTTCCTTAGCTGTGCTACTCCTTTTTATTCTATTGGCTTTTGAAAGCCAATAGAATAGACTCTCTTGAATAGAGTCTAATTCTATTGGCTTTCAAAAGCCAATAGGAATTGTCCAGACTGTCTCTGCCCTGCTGAGCCCGCCAAAAGTCCCATTCTGCAAACGGTGCTGTACCAGTTGAGTAGTCCTCGACTTACGACCGGTTGAGTAGTCCTCGACATACGAGCGGTTGGGGGTCGCGGCATTAAAAAGGTTGAGAACCACTGCTCTATAAACACAAAGACCCTCCCCCACAAAATATAACATTTATACAGATAGTTGCTGCTTAGTGACTGCCTTGTTTAGTGACCATTCAAAGTTATGATGATGCTAAAAAACAACTTAGCAACCAGTCCTCATATTTATGACTTTCACAGCAGGTATTTTCAACTCATAACAAGATGTCCTCAAAGAATTCACCTATTCATCTGAAGAAAGTAGCAAGGAGTGAATAAAAATTGAAGTAAAATCATTTTCATTTAGCAACCGCTTCACTTAACTACTAAGTTGTCGGTCCCAGTTGCAGTCACTAAATGAAGTTTTCAAATAATAAAGTGACCAACTTTGTTACAATGAAAAGGAGGACACAAATAAATTGAAGAAAAAAATATCGTAAATAAAAGAAACATTTTATTCATTGCAACAATAATACAGACAACTTGCATGTGCATAGTCTGCCAGGTGTTTTGGCGTACTCAGCAGCAATTCCTATTGGCTTTCGAAAGCCAATAGCGGGAGTAGCACAGCTCATGCAAAAGTTGAACAAAAAAACCATCAAAAAAAGGTGCCAGAACGCCGTTCTGAGCGTTCTATGAGAAGGAAAAAAAAGCTCTGCAGATTAGTCTACAAATATCGAAAAGGAGGACATGTAGGAGGACACTTTTTGAGGGAGGACAGAACTTACAAAAGGAGGACTGTCCTCCCTAAAGGAGGATGGTTGGTCACCTTACAAATAATATAACACAATATAGGGTTATAAAACATGTTTATATACAGCATACTAAAAAATTTACAAAAGGTGAAACCAAGATTATACCGAGAAGACTAAAACAAATATCCAGGAATATATAAATGTTGCTGATTTGCCAGAATGTGACCCAATATTATTATTTAGCCCTGAGCAAGCTTAGTTACACTGCAGCCATTTCCAAATACTATGTGGAATTTAAAAAGACTGAACAGGGGAAAATTCTCTATCTAGATGCAGGATCCAGCATAACATAGATTAAAAAATAATCAAGAAGGAAAAAGTAATTCTAATAATAATTATTCAAATAATAGGAATAGTATCTATAATTCATGTAAACCAATTCCATTTTACAAACTTCATGAGAAATATGTGGATCAAGAAAAAAGAAAACCAAACAACAGAATCAATGGAATAAATCCATGTAAATGAGTAAGATACAAGCTCTTATGATGAAGGGGACAGATTAGAAAATTTTAAAACAGCAGCTATTATTTTGTCAGATAATTTTATGCATGTTATTCTATTTGGCATTAAGAAGCTAACTGGCACAAATTTCAACCTAACATTTGCTATTTGTACCATAATACTGATATTGTTTGTGAATAATGCTGACAATAAAAATCTACTTGTCTGTTACAGTTTACTTAGCTACCATTTTTATCATCTGCAGCATATATACAAAATTATCTACAATCTCTTGTGCAAGATATATCCTAAGATATGGATATCATTTGACATCTTAATGTAAATGGGAACAATAATTTATCCATAGTAGTAGTTAGAGCCATCATAAAAGAAAATCAGAGGAGATAACAACAGAAAATTATTGACACCTTTTACACATCAGTTCTGAAATGCATATCCCTGACCATAAAATTATTTAAAACAATGCTGCCATATCTAGTGAAGCTAAACAATCAAATCTCTCAATACTGCATGTTTTTTAACTGACATTTTAAAAGATAAGGCATAAATTCTCTGCATTTTAAGTAAAACAATTAACTTTTAGTGAAAAATCAATCTTTAAAGAAAATCTATTATGTCATTCTAAGAAGAATTAATAGTAACATAATCCTTGTAATAAACAGGAAAAAATATCATTGATTTTATTCTTAATTTCATAGGCCAAACTTGTTCTCAGGTCTGCTTTCATAATTATTTTAATGTTTGATCTATTGGGAGAATATGAATAGTATTCTTTCAGGTGTGGTGAAGAAAAGCCAAAGATAAACAAAAGTGGAACCTGACTTACTGTTCACTTCTAAAGTTAGAGTGAGAATCAATTTACACCACAATGAAACAGGAATAGAAAGTTTAAAAGATTGCTTCATGGGTTTTTCACAAAATTTTGCTTGATAGTTTTGCCAGATTTAGAGTTTCAAGCTTGACAGGGCAGGTAAAGGATAAGAAGTGAGTAAAACTGCATGAAAAAAACTACTGAGCCATAGGTAAATAGCTATCATAATATCTGACAGAAACAAAGATGACATCAAAATAACTTAACACTCCTGATGTCTCATGCTCAACCATGTACTTAAGCTTTCTAAGTTTATTTCAATAAATTTAGAAAATATCCTTCTTTCAACGGCACTGTCAGGTTGGCATACAATATAAGAGTTGATACACTGGAAGTGATACAAGCAAAGAAGATTTTTAAAATCCATATGGAGAGTTACTAAAAATGAAACCAGGAAAAACATGTTTGAACACTTGGTGATGGAGAACCTTAATGTGATACTAAAAGGACAGATTTGTTACAGATGTGCATCCCAAAGAAGGCAATTTGTCCCTGAAGCACTTATTTATAGGAACTGAGGATTGAGGAGTTTTTTTCCCCTCTAAAATTAACTCAAAATCTTTGTCTACTGCTATAAAAGCTTAACTTGATTCTATTTTCACTCTTACTACAGGAACTTTAAAAGGGATTTATCATCATAAATCATGACATACTTATCAGATCTAGGGGTTTCCTACATACTAGAATGGCATCTCATCTGATATTGATGTCAGCAGCCAGACATAAATCAATCCTATCTGTGGCTTCTTCTCCCACCCATCTCCCTAGTCTGGCTTAAAAGAAGCACAAGAATTAGTCCTTAAGGGATACTATCAAGAAGAAGGGATGCAGCACCATGGGAGAGACACACTGTAGTGGAAGAGCATCTAGAAACTCCCGTCCCAAACCACATTTCTTGTCTGATTAAAAATACTGATCTAGTTCTGAGAATTAATTCTCAGCCAGTTCATGTTGGAACCTAAAGACTTTTTCCATTATATGCTATTGCTCAGGATGACAAAATGCAGGAGATTCTTTATGAATAATAAAAAAAAACCTTCTCCACTTATAGGTCAGAGAGAATGTATTTATGAGGAACCAATCAAGGTACAAGCAATACAGCCTTTCTACTAATGACAACTGTTGACTTTTGCTTGACTAATGTAGGAACATAATGAAGTTAGTGTCCTTATGAACGCTGGATGACAATGGATCAAATAACATCAATATATCAGCTACTGTTTTTTTTTACAGATGCTTGTTTGAGCATAAAATTTAATTAATTGAGACTGAGATTAAAGTGTAACATCTAATGACATAATGGACCATAAAGCTAACATCTTAAAAATGCTAATAAGTTTTGTAATATGACAACATTATTACCAAAGCTGAACTTGTTTAAAACAGATATAAAATCTGTTAGTTCTTTCTTGATTAATTCTGCATGGCTCAGCAATTATCACAGGGATGCTTTTTCTTTAACTGAGCATGTAAAAGAACACATCTTAGTAATTCAGAAACCACACTCATATAGATAATATGCATCTTAATCAAAGTTGGCCCTAACGTCCCAAACACAAAGTTTTACATTTATTTTTTAAGGCTATATTATCTCACAGATCTATTGTAGGTTTTTCAAGAAGAGAATTATTATATATAGTCTTGAGCAGCCAGAGACAAGATGGATTTAAATGTACAAATAACCTTTAAAAACCAATGATTTCAGGCGATTAAAGCAGGCACATTCTGTTACAAGAAAATTTCAAAATAAATAAAACAAGTGATAGTGCACTAATTATGTACTAGTATTAGAATGTAATTTCCTTATTTAGATATAATACCTAAGATTTAAAATGTAACAAAGATCAAAATTACCTTTAGAGTATCTACAGAATAGTTAAAATGAAATAACTAAATTTGTTAATATTAGTTTTTTTTCTCTGTGAGGCTAATTATTCAGTTATTTCATAATTCTTAACTAGTTTATGGTAGTATATATTGCAACTGACAGTTTCAGGTAGTATTAAAACGTTGTGATTTAGATAATTAATAGCATCTTAAAAATATATTTTTTCTAAATAGTTTGTGATGATACCAGGAACATATGAGATGTTGGACCCTTATTGCAATTTTAACTATCTTTTAAATATTAAGATTTTTAACACTGCTCACGTATATGAGCTATTATCACATTATACAAAGTTACAAAACTAGAGGCAGATCTGCCTGGGTGAACCTTTTGCTTTCCTCCTTACCCCCAGCTAAGAAGGAACCGTGGACTCAGAATATCACCTTACCGGAATTTCAAATGTTTCCTGTGTATCATCCAGCATTTGGACTTTGATAGAAATAAGTTTTCCTGTAGGTGTTGAAGGCAGTTTCTGTCCATGTTCCAAAGTACTGATGCCAGCATTCTCCTGTACTCCTAGCCGAGATCCTGTTGTCGCTTTTTGCTCCACTTCGCCCATATCTGAAGAGACAAGCTTCTACTTCTAAGAGAGGGGCAAAGACAAAGAAAATATGGTACGATGTTAGTTCAATTACTTCAAGACTTCAAGTGACCTGCGACCACAATGAGACCAGAATTTCTTTGTTAAACAAGGTAATTCTTAAGTGAGTCATGCCCAATTTTGCCATGGTTGTTAAGTGAATCATTTTAGTCGCTAAGTGAATTATATAATTTTAGGCAAATCCAGCTTTTCCCATTGCTTATGAGAAGTTGGCTGGAAAGGTTGTAAATGGAGATCACATGATTCCAGGATGCTGCAGCCATTTTAAATACATGCTGGATGCCAAGCAACCAAATTGTGATTGTGTGGAGATTCTAGGTTGGTTGCAAGTGTGAGGACTGATTGTAAGTCATATTTTACAGTGCTGTTGTGACTTTGAACGGTCACTAAATGAATAGTTGTAAGTCAAGGCTACACAGGTTACATAGTAGATCTAAATAAAAATAAAAGAAATATTTTGCAATAAAGCTAAAAAAATTTTTTGTCTGAGATGAAATTATTCACTAATCAGAGTTCACAACAAAAACTGCTCAAAAATATGTAAAGTAAGAGTGATGATAAAGTCACTGGTTGTAATGTGCTTGGAATCCTAGAAAAATCATGAAAATTAATGAAGGGGTGATCAGAATTTTTTGGCTTTAATATTGCCTAAAATAGTGGTTTCCTTTTTTAATTAATGCAAATTCAATTAATTTATACGGGAAAAGGAATTCCAGGCAAGGAACTGTTCCACTGATTTTACTGAAAGTGAATTGATTCTTGAACTTTCTGGGGTTTTTTTAGCAGCAAGGTTATATATTTTCGACTCTTTGTGGGTAACAGTTAAGATGATACTATGGAACACTATTAGCCCTATAATTGATGGATGTAAATGTTATTTGTTTGATATATCAGATCATTATTTCATCTTTTCTTTTGCTCTTCTGATAGCCAAAACGAATCTTAACGCAAAGTCTTCTGCTGTTACTCATAAGCCATCCTTTATGTCTTTTATGCACTCATGAATTATAATTCCCAAGAATATAACAAAATGAAAGATACGAAAGAAATAAAATGTTTTCCTGGCTGACTGTCTTTGAAAATCACATAACGTTTATTAATATACAAAAACATTCATAATTTCAGAATATCTGTTACTGTGAATGCTTTCAGGACTTGGAACTGCAGGCTGACTACTGATTGAATGTTAGTTCTTTTGGGGTTGGTTGGGTTTTTTTTTTTTTGCATAATTAATTTAATCTCTCAGGGTCAAACTATATCAATAATTGGTCTCCAGAATCTAGGAAAAATAACTCTTATACAAGAAGGACATGTACAAAATACTGTAAGTTTCTACAAGTAAAAAAAATACAATGTCTTCTGGTCACCAAAAGACAATATGAACTGATCATATAAAATATTAAAGGCACAGCAGCTAAAGCCAGCGTTGTGTTCTTATATAAACAAAGGACAAAATAATTTTCCTATAACTATTAGAGATCATTGCCAATTACAATTAGGCTTCAGTGGTCATATTTATGAAATCCTAAATTGAAATCATGAAGAAATACAATAGAATATTAAGTAAGAAAAATGCCTAACTGAAATGACCTATTTCCAAGGTTACAAAGAAAAATAAGTAGGAACAAATAGTGAAAAGAATAGCAAAAGAAAAAAACTATACTTGTTATGATTTTTAAAAATCTACTGATTTAGGTAGCTTCGCTGTCTAAAAAACATAGTAAAACAAAATGTTGGTGCAGTTTTGGGACTCGTGTAAAGGTAATGTATTCTCAGGTTCTGTTTTTTGCTGGCCTAAGAAGAAAGTAACTTTTTTTTTTTTATTGAAAATTTTTAAAATTTCACAAAAAAAAAAAGATTCCCCTCCCCAAACCCTCCCAACCCACCCCAACCCTCCCCCAACCTTCCCAGAGCTGAATACAGGCTTAGTTAAAACTTAAAAGAAAATATTTTAAACACATGTAAACCATAAACAATTAATTACAATAATTAAACAAATTATAAAATACTTTAAGACCAATATATAAAAAGCAGAAAAAATTATGATTACAATCATTAGACAAATTATAAAATACTCTAACACCAATATAAAACTAAGAGAAATAATAATAATAATAATAATAATAATAATAATAATAATAATAATAATAATAATAAAATTAAAAGAAGAAAAAAAGAAAAAGAACCTCCCCCCAAAAAAATTAATAAGAAAATTAAACCACCCTTAAAATTTTATGAGCTTTAAGTGTAAATTATTCGGAAAAAAAACTAAACATTTTCTAATATCATACTTATATTATTTAAAGTTTATCCATCATTCTTTATAAACACCCTCAAAAACACACATACAAACATTACTTATAACATTGAAATTCCCTTATACATATTTAAAACAAAATATTCCTTTAAATGCTCCTTAGATATCTAAACATGCACTACCTATCTAAAATTTTCATTCAATCTCCGTAATATCATACTTATATAAAATCTAATCTATCCCTTTCTTTATCATCAAACACAAAAATAAACATATAAACGTTAATTATACCATTAAAGCAAAATACTCTTTTAAATACTCCTTAAATTACTAAACTTAAACTTCTTATCTAAAATTTTCATTCAATCTCCATAATCTTCTCTCCTCTTTACCAATAACCAATTCCATCCACCGTGAACTGTAATCTATCAATAACCTGAAAACAATCTATACATTCTTTGTCAATCTCTCTTATCCAAAAACCTCGAGAGAAGTGCTTGGAAATCTGCCCTTAAAGGTTGCTCCAAAAAGTTTATAGACCTTGCTTCTCCCGCAGACTCAGAAACAGATACTTGTGAAGCTTCCTTAACCTCCTTCTTCTGTTGCTCCTTTTCTTTGCATTTATGTGTTACACAGGTTATCCTCTGCTCCTTCATCTCAACTCAGTCTGAAATTTCCCAATTTTCATCAATATAGGCTCTTCAGACTGCAATTCTGCCTTCTTCTCTTCCAAAGTTTTAGACATGATAGGTGGCGATGAACATACCCCCAGGACCGAAGTGTAAAACTCTTTTGCTTTGAAAACAGTATTAAGTCTATAACGTGTCCCCAGTTAATTCACCACCATTCCAGTCGGGACATCCCATCTGAACAACATTCGCCTCTTTTTAAGTTCATCTGCTAAAAAAGCAAACTCCTTTCTTCTTCTTAAAATTTTAGATGGGATCTCCTTTAAAATTATAACGTCTTGTGAAGCAATCTGAAACCTCTTATTGTAAAAAGCTTGTATAATTTCATTATGCAGGGATCTTTTCCCAAAATAAATTACCACATCTCTTGGCAGATTTCTTTGCTTCGCCACCACAGAGTTAACTCTAAATGTTTTTTCAATTTCACTAAATATTTCCTCTTTTTCTCTGTCCAGAATCACAGCAAAGTCATTTGCAACCATCTCTCTTAGATCTCCTTGCAGAGACTCTCTCAAGCCTCTAATTCTTAAAGCATATTCCATTTCTCTATATTGAAGCATAAGAATCTCATCTTGAGAATTTTCCATCTCTTTTTCCATACCTTCAAGTTTTCCCTCCAACAGCTCCACTTTGTCTTCGACCTCTTCTACACGAAAGTTCAACTTTTCAAGAACAGAGGCAAATCCTTTTAAAGTCAAAACTATATCTTGCCTCAGAATCCTATTATTTTCTGCTAAAATCTCTTTCACTTCTCCCCTGATTTGAAATATAGCATTTCCCATTATGTCTTGCAAATCCTTTACCATTAATAACTGTGCCAAAGGAGAGGGTGAAACTATTGATTTAGATTGTTGCACTGATGATATCACCGAAGAAGAAACCACCTTAGGAGCTGTGGGAATTACTGGACGCTTTGGAGCCATCTTAGAAAATCTTTACTCCTTCTTAAAAAATACCCAAAAAAAGGAGGGGGAAAAAAAAGTTAAGCAAAAGAAAAAAAGGGAGATTAACTCCCAAAAATCAAAAACTCCTTCAAAAGGAGATCATTATAATAAAAAGAAAAAAGTTAAGAAAAAATAGAAAAAATCCGTTCCGTTATTTTTTAAAAGTACAAAAAACAAAAAAAATCCTTCAAAAAATAAAAAAAAAGTTAAACAGAAAGGGAAAATAATCCTCCTAAAATCCAAACCCAATATCAGAAAATCATTATAAATAATCAAATCCGTTCCATTCCGTTCCAGTCATTAAAAAAAAAAACAAAAAAACACCCAAAAACCTACCGATCGCCATTTTACTTTCCCTTTCAACAAAAGAAGAAAACAAAAAGAGGGAATAAAAGTAAATCTTTAAATTTAAAATCCAAATAAAATTGGAAAAAACAAAATCCTCTATTCAGCTCTGTCCGCTTTTAAAAAAAACTCACCAGATCACTTTAATCGCGGAGGTGGTTGCAGCGGCTTGTTTTGTCCCCAGAGACAAAAACAGCTGGGAAGCGGAGACAATCTGAACTCCGTGGGAGCACTCTTTTCACCCCCCCCAAAAGAAAACCTTGCGGGTGCATAAGAGGCTCTACCACTATTCAGACGATACTCTCCTTCCTCCCTTAGCCTGGGAAGGAGGTTTTGAACCGCAGAACAGCTGATGTCTGCTGTTCATAGCAGTTCTAACACTTTCCCAGGAGGACGGCTACAAAGTAGCCGCCATCGCGCGCGCAGATCCACCGGAAGAGCCTAGAAGAAGAAAGTAACTTATACAAATGTCACCACCTGTCACTTTACTCAATCTCATTTTATTCACAACACATGGGAAACTGTCAGTGTCTTAGACCAAGCTAAATGCAAAAATGCTAAGGTATTTGTGGAAGCTTGTCACTGAGACATATCAGTCACCAACAGACACACAGAGATAAAAAGCAGATACATTTACACACCATTCAAAAAGAGACCATAAAAAAGATAGGCAGCAAAAAAACAACCAGAACACATTCTCTTCAGTAGCCAACTGAAATAAACGGAGATTAACACAGACAAACCATT